TCTACAAGTCGAATTTCGACAGTTTTGACCAATTTTCCTGACTGGCATGGCTCACGCATGCTGATAACTGTCTTCAAAGAATCATTTGGGTTGGTTATTTCAACAAACATGCCACGAGTAGGCGCAAGAATGCGCTTGATGGGGTTTGTCTGGAAACGCTGGCCTTGGATGAAGACCTCAGTGGTAAAGAGAGCATATCTCCAAGAGTAAATGTTACCAGCCAAGAGATGAAGCCAGCGGTCAAGTTCAGGAAGATTGGCCGAAGGGGAGGACGAAAGGCGATAGGAAACTCGAGTAGCATCCTCGGAGATAGTTAAGCCATCAATGTCGCGATCTTCATCGTCAACAAGAGCAAGTCGACCACCGAAGTATTCAACGGTAGGAACCTTAGACTCGTCACCATTGTAGACATCTTGGATAAGGCCCTTGATATGGTCTTGGTGGATGCCATCCAAGATGCTCTTGATTGGTTCATCGATGACGGTTGAGTATTTGGCAGCCATGGGCCCTTGCAGAATACAAACACGACCAACATCTTGACCAACGACGGCCTCAATATCCTCTGATTGCCAGAGAGAATCTTTCTTGAACCAGAACTCGAAGTTCTCATCTAGCGATGGCACAAATGGAACTGGCTTCTGTCCTCGTCTCTGGCAGAGCTGAAGGAAGTGCTGTACATCTTGCGCGTTGATAAGTTGATCGGCAGAGGCAGGATAGGCATCGAGGATCTCTTGGACAGTTGGGTAGGGGGTATCAAGCTGAGAGTAAGACTGGAGGCGAGATTCTCGGTTCTTCTCTGTGGCAAATCGCTCTTCAACACGACGAAGGAAATCACCGGTGAATCTCTTAAGCGAATCATCGATCCACCTAGCTTCATGTTTAACATACATGAGTTCAACCATGCGGTGTACAACCTCAGCGTAGGTCATGTCCTCCAAGTCAACGGTAACACCCTTCGAGTTACGTCCGAACCACACCTTTTGGAAGTCATCATTGAGTTTTTTAATTATATACTCTCTGTGTTTCTTGAGAGCAGGGAGTCGCTTGGCCTTATCGAGAGAGAATATCTTTTGGTCCATCTCAGCCCAGAAAAGCACTCCTCTGGTGGCTAGTTTGTGAATAGGTTCTCCCATCTCAGAGCGCACGGTAATGACGCCGCCTGCAGCGCCCTTGTAAGTGTCTTCCCATTTAGCATCATCGACGCCCGGCGCAGCTACTATCGCCTCCTTGGCAGCCTTGGAGGTGTGTGCCTCCTTAGCAACCATCATGCGACTACCGAAGAGGCAGCCATCGAATGGCATAGGTGGGTATCCGAACTGGCGAGACCAGGTACCAGTGAGGTATGGATAGGTGTCTGTGGAACCACCAAAGCCACTTCCTGCAACTAGAACAATGTTATCACATTTGCGGATACGGCTATACATTTGAAGGACAGGTTGGTGGAAATCTTCAAACGAGTGATGTCCTCCTCCACGACCACCAGTCCACTGCAGGATAACAGGGAAACTGGGGTTTGCCTTGGCAATATTGATGACCTGTTGGATAGCGTCTAAAGAGCCTGGCTTGAAGCCTATGTGTTTGATTCCAAGTGTCTCAATGTATTCATTCGCAACCTCAATGGATGGTACTCCGGCGCCAATAACAAGACCTTCGATAGGAACACCGTCGGCACGGAGCTTAGCCAGCAATGGAATCTGCCAGGCCATAGCGCGTGGATTAACGTAGATTAAGTTGACGGTGATACCACGGCCTGGAGGAATCGCCTTTTCGATCTTCGTGAGAGCTGCTGCCATAGATTTCGCGTTGTAGTAGCCACCTCCTCCAAGCTCTATCTGGTATCCGGCGTTCATTGTGGCAGCGACAAAGTCCCAAGGCACAGTAGTCGGAGTCATACCAGCAACCATTATTGGGGGGACACCTAGAAGTCTGCTCATCTTTGTATCTACAAAAGTTTGGCCGACAGAGGTCTTTACAAGCCGGGGGCCGTAGACCTCAACCCAGTCGACAGCGTATTTGACGGCATGGTCTTCATCACGGTCAAACAACTCAGGTTTGTATCCCACCTCTGCGTTAGTGCCGTCTATAAGACCACCAAGAATGACTCTAACACCGGTACCGTCCTTGTTACGGTTGGTGAGGACACCTAGTCCTGAGATGCCACCTGGACCAAAGTCAACAATGTGGGTAGCCTTGCTGAAAACAGTAGCTTTTTCCCAGTCAACCGGGTCACTGGTGATCATGCGGATCAATGCAGGTACGATATCCTCGTCGCCGAGTTTGCTGATATCCTTGCCAGTGTTCGTATCATAAACAGGGATTCGCAAGGATCGTGCAGGGATTTTGATATCCTCAACGTCCTCGGCTATAGCTTCGAAAGCAGAAGCAAGGTATTGGCTGTGGAAAGGGGCCGTGATGGGCAAGAATCTGTTGACGAAGCGAATCTTTCGCTGTGTGAAGGGAACCCGGTTTTGGTCAAGGCCAGTGGCTGCTTTAACCTTACGGAGACGTAAGTTTAGACCGTACAGGGAGATTGGTGGGCCGGTAACAACAAAGTTGCGAGGGCTGTTGACCAAGGAGATAGCAATGTGGCGGTCTTCTGGCAGATGTTGGTTCGTAGCATCAATGTGTTCCTGTACCGCTGACCGGTGGAGGTCTCGGATGGACAGCATAGGAGTCGGGATGCCCTCTCCGTTCTCAATGGAGTCCTGAAGTAGCGACGGAGCGAGTGAGGTGCGAGGGTATGCCTGTTGACTCCGAAGGCCGATCCAGAAGAGCATTGTTAGCGCCGCTCTCGCAGCCTTTGCAAAAGACTCCCACGTGGTCACGGTGGCGATAGCAGCAGCAGTAATGATACCCTGCGAGTGACCAGTGGTACCACTGAAAGTATCAAGTACGTCACCCGGCTCCTTTCCCATGGCCTTGCAGGTAGCCATGAAGTGGGCGAGCTGAACAAGGCCAATTAACGGCAAGCTGACTGGTGCAGAGACGAGATAGTCAGTATCTGGCTGGGTATCACGGTCGTGCAACCAGCGGAGAATATCCATTCCCTTTGAATAGAGCTTGATAGCATCAAGATCTCTGGCGAGAGACTGCAGCAGCTCCGCCGAAGAGGAAATGAGGTCCTCGACAAATGAAGGATACGTGTTGTAAATCTCGCGTAGCTCGTCAAAATATTCTTCAATGTTACCCTGGCCGCCGTAGATACTGTACAACTTCGCGTTCCCTTCCATGGCAGCACGCAGGAGAGCGGAATCGTGGGGCTTTGTGGGCCTGTTCACGGCTGCACGGGCCGCATAGTAGTTTTCCACCATGAGCAGCTTCTTCGCAGGGATGCCGGGTATGGAGCCAGCAACGGCATGGACATCGTTACCGCGCATAAAAGCACGCTCGAACTCGTTTAGAACGAGCTTGAGAACTTCGATGTACGAGCCCAGGGAGTCATCTTCGCCCTCCTCGACCTCGTGGGCGATGAAGCCAAGGTACCGGGCCACGAGGTCCGGCACGGACGACGGCTCATCGTCCTGTGCTAGCTCGTCAGTGGGCTCAGGGAGCGAGGCAGCAAAGCTGTCCTTGAGTTGTGAGGCATGGAAATGAAGGGATGTGGCCACTAGAAAGGAGAACTCGAGGGATCCATGGGAGAGATTGAGGGGACGCAGGGACTGCGAGGATCGAGGAGTGTTGATGCCCGTCTGGGGGCCGGTCGAGGGGCCAAACATGACGTTTTCAGCCTGATTAGGGTAGCGAAGGAATGGAGAAGCAGCAAGAGGCGTAGAAGGTCAATTAAGTAGGATATATATGTTTGTATCGTGTTCTATCGTCCCGTTAGCCATGATCCCGCATACTCGTCCAAGCTCGGAGCTCCCCCCCAAGCTTTGAGCCCAAGGTGCCTGCTACTCACCAATGCCGCATGATACCTCTAAAACCAGACAGAAAATGAGAGATGCCGTGACGAGTCGTGAGATAAAGACAAAGACGAGGAGAAGATGAAGGGGGGGGAATGAAGCCGTGAAGGCGCAGAAGCGAAGATGAGGTCGAAGTTGTGAAATTGAAGTCGAATTAAAGCTGGCGGACGAAGAAGTTGAGGATTCCCCAATCGAGCATTTTGGAAAAAAAAAAAAAAAAAAAAGTAAAAAAAAAGGAGAATTTTTCAAGCTGCGGGGCCCGTTGAGGCCGCGCTAGACCGGAAGAGGCAAGGCGCGGTAATTTAACCGCCCCAAAGAATTCAAAACGGTTGAATTTCCAGGGACAAGTGGGACAGCTTACCGTACATGACGCGCGGCTGCTTTGTTATTACATTACAATAGCCGCTCCACATATCGTCGAATACTGGGGAATTCGATAGAGCACACGGATCTATTCCTCACGTTTTCACTAGCCACTCTCTACATATACTCCTGGAAAGAATCCCAGGTGCTTACTAGTGAATGAGAATCCACAGTATCAAAGGAGCGTGCGTGCTCGGAGCAGAGCTGTCGGCGGCCGAGCTGCAGCGGGAGTGCTTACCGCAGCGTCTAGATCCGCCGTCACGTTCTTACGGTACGCAGCCCCAGGAAAGTACACCAACTGTAATTTACACTGACTAAGCCATGGCCTTTTTTCTTTTCTTTTCTTTTCCCTCCCTTTTTTTCTGCCTTCCCTGCTGTTGGCCCAAACGGGAAGTAGGAAAGCTCGCCTTTTTCAACCTCAACCGCAGCTCCGACGTTCTTCTTCTTCTTCCTCCTCCTCCTCCTCCTCGTCTGCTCGCCGGCGCCTCGACTTCATCCTCAAGCAATTAATATAATCCATCTTTAATTAACGACCCGCACACCTTCTTCTGCTTCTGACCTGCTTGAGGGAGCTTGCTGAGCTATCTACTACAACAAGGACATGCGCCAGCCAGCTTGATATATCTCCTTTGAACAGTGTGATATCCCCCTGCATTTCGCGCCACCAGCAGGACGCCCTCTTCGCCGTATATAATAATTTAGACGATTCTTCAGATTTCCCTCCAGTCTACCGCCATGAAGCCCGAAGTCGAGCAGGAGCTGGCTCACACCCTGCTCGTCGAGCTCCTCGCATACCAGTTTGCCTCGCCGGTGCGGTGGATCGAGACCCAGGATGTCATTTTGGCTGAGAAGAGGACGGAGCGCATTGTTGAGATTGGTCCGGCCGACACGCTAGGTGGAATGGCCCGGAGGACCCTCGCATCGAAATATGAAGCCTACGATGCCGCCACGTCCGTCCAGCGTCAGATCCTCTGCTATAACAAGGATGCAAAGGAGATATACTACGATGTCGATCCAGTCGAGGATGAGCCTGCTCCAGCCCCTGAAGCTGCCGCTACCGGTGCTGCGAGTGCCCCTGCGGCTCCCGCTCCGGGCCCAGCAGCTGCGGCCCCAGCTCCAGCGGCTGCTCCAGCACCGTCGGCTGGCCCTGCTGCGGCTGTGGAGGACGCTCCCATCACTGCGGTTGAGATTGTGAGATCGCTTATCGCCCAGAAATTGAAAAAGGGACTCGCAGATGTTCCCCCTAGCAAAGCAATTAAAGATCTAGTAGGAGGTAAGCCACAATGTACAACGATAACGCCTTGAGTGTTCTAGGACACTTCAACTGACCGATGATATAGGAAAATCCACATTACAAAATGAAATCTTGGGTGACCTTGGAAAGGAGTTTGGTTCTACGCCCGAACGGCCTGAAGATACCCCTCTCGACGAACTCTCTTCCTCTCTCCAGGCCACTTTCAACGGCCAGCTTGGAAAACAATCCTCATCTCTTATTGCGCGACTGGTTTCTTCCAAGATGCCGGGTGGTTTCAATATTACCGCTGTCCGCAAGTATTTAGAATCTCGCTGGGGTCTGGGTCCTGGTCGACAAGACGGTGTTCTCCTCTTTGCTCTCACCATGGAGCCCGCTTCCCGTATTGGCTCTGAGACTGATGCGAAGGCGTACTTTGACGACATTACGAATAAATATGCTACTAATGCTGGAATAACACTGTCTACGGCCAAGGCTGGAGGTGACAGCGGTGGCGGCTCAGGAGGCATGATGATGGATCCTGCCGCTATCGATGCGCTAACCAAAGACCAGAGAGCTCTCTTCAAACAGCAACTAGAAGCCATTGCAAGATACCTTAAGATGGACCTCCGCGCTGGAGACAAAGCTTTTGTTGCATCTCAGGAGTCCCAGGCCACTCTCCAGGCCCAGCTTGACCTCTGGCAGATAGAGCATGGTGAAGTGTATGCCTCTGGTATCGAGCCTTCCTTCGACCCTCTCAAGGCCAGAGTATACGACTCGTCTTGGAATTGGGCTCGCCAGGACGCTCTCAGCATGTACTATGATATCATTTTCGGCCGTCTTCGCGTCGTTGACCGTGAAATTGTCAGCCGGTGTATCCACATCATGAACAGATCCAACCCGCTCCTTCTTGACTTTATGCAGTACCATATCGATAACTGCCCGACCGAGCGTGGAGAGACCTATAAGCTAGCCAAGGAGCTTGGATGTATGCTGATCGAGAACTGCAAGGATGTTCTCAACGCCGATCCAGTATACAAAGACGTTGCAGTCCCCACCGGACCCCAGACAACCGTAGATGCTAGGGGAAACATTAAATACCAGGAAGCCACACGACCAAGTGCTCGCAAACTCGAAGACTACGTCCGTGCTATGGCCCAGGGAGGACCCATCTCTCAATACAGCGGCCGCACAAAAGTACAAAACGACCTCAAGAATGTTTATAAAATGATTCAAAAACAACATAAACTTTCCAAGGCTTCACAACTACAGTTCAACTCACTTTATAAGGAAGTTCTGCGAACCTTGGCCATGAACGAACGCCAAATCATGCCTAGACAGAACGGCCACACTAGAAAGGGAACGCCTGCCAACGGATCTCTCTCTCCTCCTGCCACCTCTGGCAAGGTTGAGACGATCCCCTTCTTGCACCTTAAGAGGAAAACGACTCACGGGTGGGAGTACAGCAAGAAATTGACTGGCATCTATCTTGATGGGCTCGAGTCTGCTGCTCGGTCAGGTCTCACCTTCAGTGGCAAGAACATCCTGATGACTGGTGCTGGCGCTGGCTCTATTGGCGCCGCTGTTCTACAGGGAATGATCAGTGGTGGAGCTAAGGTTGTTGTGACTACCAGTCGCTTCTCGAGGGAAGTTACTGAGTACTACCAAACAATGTACACACGATACGGCGCTCGAGGGTCCCAACTTGTTGTCGTCCCATTTAACCAGGGAAGCAAACAGGACGTTGAAGCTCTTATTCAGTACATCTACGATCCTAAGAATGGGCTTGGATGGGATCTAGATCACATTGTTCCGTTTGCTGCTATTTCTGAAAACGGCCGTGAGATAGATTCTATTGACTCCAAGTCGGAACTGGCCCATCGTCTTATGTTGACAAATATTCTCCGTATGATTGGTGCTGTCAAGTCCCAGAAACATGAGCGGGGTTTTGCAACCCGTCCGGCTCAGGTTGTCCTCCCCATGTCTCCCAACCACGGAACCTTCGGAAACGACGGTCTTTATTCCGAGTCAAAGCTTGGTCTAGAGACCCTATTTAACAGATGGTACTCTGAGAATTGGTCCGACTATCTCACCATTTGCGGAGCTGTTATTGGTTGGACTCGTTCTACCGGTTTGATGAATGCCAATGATACCATCGCCGAAGGTGTTGAAAAGCTTGGTGTTCGTACCTTCTCTCAACAAGAAATGGCTTTTAACTTGCTCGGACTTATGGCGCCACCTATTGTTGATCTCTGCCAGAGTAACCCTGTGTTTGCGGACCTGAACGGTGGTCTGCAATTCATTCCTGATCTCAATGGGTTGATGAAGAAGCTTCGCAGTGAGATTGTCGAGACCAGCGCTGTCAGACAGGCAGTTATGAAAGAAACTGCCCTCGAGAATAAGATTGTTAACGGCGAGGACAGCGAGGCTCTGTATAAGAAAGTCATTACTGAACCTCGTGCCAACCTCAAATTCGAATTTCCGAGTCTGCCTGATTGGAAGACCGAAGTTGAGCCTTTGAACGGCGACCTCAAGGATATGGTCAACTTGGATAAAGTCGTTGTTATTACCGGATTTGCCGAAATTGGACCATGGGGTAACTCCCGTACCCGCTGGGAGATGGAGGCTTACGGAAAGTTCTCTCTTGAGGGCTGCATCGAGATGGCATGGATGATGGGCCTTATTAAGAACCATAACGGCCCTCTTAAAGGTAAACCATACTCTGGTTGGGTTGATACCAAAACTGGTGAACCAGTTAGCGACAAGGACGTTAAAGCCAAATACGAGAAGTATATTTTGGAGCACTCTGGCATTCGTATTGTCGAGCCTGAGCTGTTCGGTGGATACGATCCCAATAATAAACACCTTTTGCAAGAGGTTGTTCTGCAAGAGGATCTCGACACTTTTGAGGCATCCAAGGAGACCGCTGAGGAATTCAAGCGTGAACATGGTGACAAGGTTGAGATTTTCGAAATCAAGGACTCCGGAGAGTATACTGTCCGTCTACTTAAGGGGGCTACTCTTCTTATTCCCAAAGCTCTTAAGTTTGACCGTTTCGTCGCTGGCCAGATTCCTACAGGCTGGGACCCTAAGCACTATGGAATTCCTGATGACATTATCAGCCAGGTTGACCCAGTCACCCTCTACGTGCTCGTTTGTACCGTTGAGACTCTTCTTGCATCTGGTGTCACGGATCCATATGAATTCTATAAATATGTTCATATTTCCGAGGTTGGCAACTGCATTGGCTCTGGTATTGGAGGTGCTCAAGCTCTTCGCGGTATGTACAAGGACCGTTACCTTGACAAGCCACTCCAAAAGGATATCCTTCAAGAGTCCTTTATAAATACTATGAGTGCCTGGGTAAACATGTTGCTCCTTTCATCAACTGGCCCTATCAAGACGCCAGTTGGTGCTTGTGCCACTGCTGTTGAATCCGTAGACATTGGTTACGAGACCATTGTTGAAGGGAAGGCTCGCGTCTGCTTTGTTGGTGGATTTGATGACTTCCAAGAAGAAGGCTCTTACGAATTCGCCAATATGGGCGCCACCAGCAATGCGGAATCTGAATTGGCTCACGGTCGAACACCAAAGGAGATGTCTAGGCCCACCACCACTACTCGTAGTGGATTCATGGAATCTCAGGGGTGTGGTATGCAATTGATTATGAGTGCTCAACTTGCCCTGGACATGGGTGTTCCAATTTATGGTATAGTGGCTCTTACCACCACAGCTACTGATAAGATTGGCCGTTCAGTTCCTGCTCCCGGTAAGGGAGTATTGACCACTGCTCGTGAGAACCCTGGAAAGTTCCCCTCGCCACTACTTGACATCAAATACCGACGCAGGCAGCTGGACATGCGCCGTCGCCAAATTCGAGCATGGCGTGAGTCTGAGATTCTTGGTCTCCAAGACGAGATCGATACTCTGAAGGCCCAGTCTGATGAAACCTTCAACGCTGCTGAATACCGACAAGAAAGATTCGAACATATTGAGCGCGAGGCCATCAGACAAGAAAAGGACGCTGCATTCAGCTTAGGTAATAACTTCTGGAAGCAAGATTCTAGAATAGCTCCCTTGCGAGGTGCCCTCGCCACTTGGGGCCTCACTATTGACGATGTTGATGTGGCTTCGTTCCATGGCACCTCTACCGTGGCCAATGATAAGAATGAGTGTGATGTCTTGTGTCAGCAGATGAAGCATCTTGGCCGAAAGAAGGGTAACGCTCTCTTGGGTATTTTCCAGAAGTATCTCACCGGTCATCCAAAGGGTGCTGCTGGTGGCTTCATGATCAACGGATGTCTTCAGGTTCTCAACACCGGTCTTGTCCCTGGCAACCGTAATGCCGACAACATTGACAAGGTTATGGAGAAATTCGATTACATTGTCTACCCCAGCCGCAGTCTGCAGACCGATGGTATCAAGGCCTTCTCTGTGACGTCCTTCGGCTTTGGTCAGAAGGGAACCCAAGCCATCGGTATCCATCCCAAGTACCTCTATGCTACCCTTGATGAGGCTCGATACGTATCCTATAAGGCTAAGGTTGAGGCTCGTCAGAAACGTGCCTACAGATACTTCCACAATGGCATGATTAACAACACTCTCTTCGTTGCGAAGGACAAGTCGCCGTATGAAGACAACCAGGAATCCAGTGTCTATCTAAACCCCGATGTCCGTGTAGAGTACAACGACAAAGAGTCCAAGCTACAGTACCCTGTTCATTCGAAGCCCAAGGCACCAACCCCCGTCAGCAAAACCGAAAGCACAAAGAAGATGGTCGAGACTCTTGCGAAGGCCACTGGAACTGGCAATACCAAGATTGGTGTCGACGTGGAGGATATTGAGTCTTTTAATATCTCGAACGAGACCTTTATTGACCGCAACTTCACCCAGCGGGAGAAGGAATACTGTTCTCAAGCAGGCTCCGCACGAGCATCCTTTGCAGGCCGATGGAGCGCAAAAGAAGCCGTATTCAAGTCCCTCGGTGTTCGTGGCAAGGGAAGTGGTGCTCCCCTCAAGGAAATTGAAATCATCCATGATGACAACGGTGCTCCAGTTGTAGTGGTAAGCTAACTTATCCCCGTCACTCCATTGTATCAGCACATTAACTAATTTTCTTTCTTCACAGCTACACGGTGATGCCGCTGCCGCTGCTAAGGAGGCCGGCGTCAAGGAGGTGCATGTCAGCATCACTCATAGTGATGCTCAAGCCATCGCCATTGCTCAATCCCACTTCTAATCCCCCCTTATTGATCCAATTATCTATAAGCATTGAGTCCTCCAAGTGCATATTCCGACCTGACTTTAGGGTCAGCCCTGCATCCCTCTACATGATTTCTGCATCTATTCATATTTAGTTTCTTCTTTTCCCTTCATGTAAGACTTTCTGCGTTTTTCTTTCCATGCCACCTAGTGATGAACCGCCCGGATAGATGTAATGACGGTGCAAAAAGCTTCATGTTCAATCTTCTCTTTTTCTCTTTCTTCCAGTCCATGAACAACCCAGTAGAATATTAGAAGAAAAATTTAGACCATGTCATCATCGTAAATCTTTTCAAGGAAAAGTTCCTCAGAACAAGCTCCTAGGTTTTGATTACAAGAAAGCTCGTAGATGGGACAACATTACTAGGATGAATCATTCAGCCATCAACGTACATATCGTGCCAACTCTGACAGACTAATAGTACAGTACAGGTCCTCGCTCACATTAAATTAGCAATGCTATATTATCTCATTTGGTATCCTTAGTTGTATTGGTAACATGAGCTCGCGCAATCGGCCCCCAGTTAGGCCTGGGGTTTGCCTGGTATCTCTTTAAACGCTTTCTGCGATGTGAATTGAGGGCTTTCTTTCCTAGCTCTCCATCGAACACAACATTTAGCGTGCTTGGATCCTGGCAAGTTGAGGGCGAACCGGCCCTTGTCGAAGAGTCATTGCTTTGTACCTCATTATTGCTTTCATTTTTTTCCATTCCTTCTAAGGTATGTCTGTCAACGATTTCTATTGATTGGTGCACTCCTGAGCGATACAATGCGGCCTGAACCATCATTGTGATATCTGCAATGCTCCTACCAGAGTCAACTGCAGTCAGAAGATCGCGCTTTAATGCCTTCAACCCAGGTACCTCTCCAGGAATAGGATTAAGTGTATGTCGGTTCCTTCGTAGAATACCGGCACCAGCTGTGGAGTCGGAGAGCGCTCCAGGTTTAATAGGCGATTTAAGGCGAACCCATTCTCGCATAATCTCCCAGACAACTTCCCAGGGGGCATTTGTTCGTATTGAGTTTGGTTTAGCGTGGCTTCGAGTAGATTTATATCCCAGGCTTCGTAGCGCTCCATGGAATTGAATTTCTGGCATCGTTGAAGTGCGGAGCACGCGAGCGAGATTGCTAACAATGAAGAAGAACGGGTAGGGCTCGATAAGGGCAGGGTCAACTCTAGGGATGAGAAGAGACGTTTCTTGACTGTTGGTATTAGGTTGTACTGGTTCTGCTTCTGGGGTGGGCTCCTTTGCGCTTCCGCCAAGATCCAAGTCCTCCTCAAGAGCAGTAGTCAACATACCCTCTATTCGAGGGCATGTTTGGTAGGTATCCCTATCCGCACCAGCCGTTAGGTCAAGAATACGCTGGATGAAGACGGGGTTATGCAGGGGACCAGCCCACATAGGGCCAGCAACGTGAGTCTTAAAACCACAATGCTCACAGTTGGGAGCAGCAGTCGGACCCTGGGCAAGTCCGTAGCTATAAAAGGTCTTTCCATCTTTGCCCGTTTGCGGTTTTCTCTCGGCAAGGCGTTGTGTCTTCCATGAACCACAACCATGGTCACAGTTGAAGGAAATCATTGTCTTGCTGGCTGCAAATTTGACCTCAATTGGAGCCTTATGGATACGAACAAAGACTCTAGCGTAAAAGTCGATTGACAAAGAAAGCATAGGTTCAATGGCTAGACCGTACTTTCCAGCAGCAGTGCCTATGGCATGCAGAATCAGGCGCAACCCTCCTTCATGAGAGTGTGACCCGCGGATGGGGATTCCACCGTAAAGGGCGAATGTTTTCTCTGGGTATCCCGCTCCTGCAAATACTCCGGCATCAGTGCAGGTAACACATAGCAAGCCACCATCGGCAACGGATTGAACAGCTGCGTCTAGGAAGGGGGCTGCTGTTCCATAAGGATCCAGGTCAACAACGTCAAACTTCGGGATACCACCAGGCTCATTAGGAGACCCTTGAGCCCGACCAACAGTATACATATAGGCACAAGCATCGCCCTTGTTCGGGTGGACTCTATCTTCTAGACCGTTGTGTTGGACGTTTAGTTTCATAGACTCGATGGCTGCCGCGGACAGGTCATTTCCAACAACGCGAGTTGCAAAGGGGATCTCTTTCGCATAACGAAGAGCTCGGAGCCCCGAGGCAGACAAAGCGTCTAGTATTGTAAATGAAGGGGTCCATGGCTTAGGTGCTGCGTTTTCCGCTACTTTTTCTGTATGTTCCGTGACGATGACATCTTTGGCCTGCATGGCAATCTCTTCCCCGACTGGTCCAGCCATGTCTTCACCATTGGACCGTGTCTCAGTACAAGTCTTCTTCAAGGGAGTGTTCTCTGCCGGAGTCTCCTCATCTTCCCGTCTTCTCTTGTTCACACCTGCCCCGACCGATTCTGCCTTCACTTGATCACCGACAGACGGTGCATCTGTTTCAATAGGTTTTTCTGTCTCGTTCCCTTCATCGGCCTTTGCCTTTTTTGTGGGGGTCTTTCTACCCTTGAGCTTCAATTTGCGCTTCTTCTGCTTTATGGCAGTGGCATGCTCTCCATAGGCGCGAATAGCCAGAACACTCAGGTCTCGATTGAACTGCTGGATAGGATTATAGAAAACAGACGGCCGGTCTCCTTCCGTGGTCTTCTGGTTCTGAGTTAATGGAGGCGGTTTGGCTGGCTCAGCATCCTTTTGGTCAACTAGGATATACGCCAGGCCTTCTTGGATCGTCTTGTACACCGTCGACCCGTGTTTTATAAGTTGGCCTTGCTTCGGTGGGCTCAATATCGTCCCTAGCTTAGGCATCTCTTCGGCGGATGCCATCCTACGCGCCAATTGATATGGAGCTTTCGCGTTCGTGGTTGATAGCAG